GTTCCGTTGCTATCTTCGACCACGGGATAAACTGGACTGTCCCTTATGATGTGCAAGTACTGCTTCAGCTGCGCATGATTCTGAAAACGTAATCCTTTAATAGAAATTCAATTCGAGCCAAAGCTACAAACTTAACTTAAAGAAAACCACCGACGGCATATAAGTTCATGATCTCATCTCCGGAATATTCTTTGTCCTGGTTAAGCGGTTTGAAACGGATGTCTTTTGGGCTTCGCGCGTCGTATAAAAATGGCCCTTTGATGGTATCCAGATCGTGAGTCCCAATCGAGACCAAACTTCTTTTCCTGCCTATATTTTGATGTAACTTTTCTTGGAGATCAATGAAACTGTTGTAAGTGTCTTTCGTAAACGTGACATCCCGTAAAACGGCCGCGACGACGTGTCCTCTGATCTTGAGACACTGCAATTCATTCCTTCCATTATTGTTCTTAAACACTTGACCGTAATGATGATCGAAAGAGACAGTATCGCGTACCTCCTTTGTCATGACGATCCTCTGTTGATTCGTAGTTGGAAGTATCTTCGTGTATCGCGGTGCACTTAATCTGTATCAATGGAACGATATAAATACTGGCACGTGTCTTAAGTTTCGACGATGTACGTACTGATTTAAAAATATACGTAGACCAAGAGACAGACCCTCCAAACAGAGTAGATCGTATCGGTTTGCCGGTATATCAATTTTATATATAATATCGTCCGATGTTTCCGCCTGATCCATGATCTGTTCTCCCCCTTTAGCGATCATTTGTTTTTCCGTCAACTACAAACGATTAGATATAGCATAAGTCGGGGAATGAGTCCACAAAATGTTTTTAATTCCTTAATTAATTAATAAAATACAAGTTTCATACCACTTCGTCCAATTCTAATCCGAACTCGAAACATAAATTTTGAAATTCGTCGTCCGCTAAAAGCACATCGAGAAGAGTCAATTGAACACTATTTTTTATCAATTCAATGAACGTCGATAAACTATAATAAAATTATAATGAAATTATAATAAAACTCACAATATGTTCTGCCAAGAGTTTGAAAAAGTAAGTCACGTTTTATGTTGACAGTCGGCATGTCTTTACAGTGTACTTTTCGGTGTTAACGATCGTAACGCACTCTGAGACTGTTATAAATCACTTTACTAAGAAAATATTGGTGTCATAAAAGGAAGAGGATTATAATTACGATTACAATCGTAGTCAGCTGTTGTAAGAATGGGAATAGGTTAACAAGGGATACCAGCGTTTTGTCAATACCTTTCGTTCCATACTGGTCTGGTGTCTATAGAGGGCAGCACTTTGCGCGCGAACACGAACATATACATCGGGTAAAGAAACAGAACAGACCGATTTAAATAATACCTTTTCGCTATTATACATTCCTGCATAAATAGGATGGTGTGGAGGTAGCATTTACATGTTCTCGTTATATATAATCAACTATTTTAAGTAGATCCTTCTTATTCGTACCATACAGGTTTACTTAAGTTTAGTCAAGCATACAGTTGAGTTTCATTTGTACAAAACTGCGATGCACAGTTTAATAAATCAGATAGCCCACCCTTTGTCTCCTAGCTTATTATACGAACGTTCTTACTCCAATAAATGGACAACTGTTCGTTCCCCGAATAGTAAATAACGACAGCTTCAGGGCATGAACGAGCTGATCATGCTGAAACAGAGTATAATCAAAATAGTTATAGGATTCATTTAGAGATATAGAAGTTATCTCATTTCTGAAGATAATGTTTAACATTTACCCATACAAGTAGTAGAAAAAGGATAACAAGTAGAACGAAAGCTTATACCATCCTTCCCTATAATAGAATTGCAGAACATGAGCACCCATTATACTTGTGGGATCATAGAGACCTGGTTTAGACATGACAGGCCTGTGATAGTATTGCCATAAATGATATATTATTAACGGCATGTTCAAGAGCAACGAGAACCATTGTCCACTAATTAAAAATAAAACGTTGATCGTAATGTGCAACCCGTACTCTGGGATAACTAGCTGAAATACAATTTATATTCCTCTCTTTAAACCCCGTCGGCAGAGTTAATCGATTTAGAACGAAGTAACAGTACGATACGACAAAGAGAATTCCTTACCAAATTTAAACTATTACAGAGCTCGATAGGATTTTTATACCCAGTCTTTAATTCGTCAAACGCGATAACCTGAAAAATGTAAGTAAACGGGTTTAGATTATGCGAAAGACACCGGACGATCGCGTACAACGAATAGATCGTTATAATTTCCACGGATAGTTATCATTGTTCACAAACGGCACGTACGTGAAATGAGACGAAAAATATTAAGAATGCATCTATAATTAAGGCAATGATATAAGAAAAAGCAGCTAAACTGAACGCCATTGTAACACATCTATATACGCGCGGCAGAGTAACTTCGTTTCGTCTCTCCCATTGCTAATCGTTGACAGGTATTTTATCCCTTCGCGTCGTTTCCAGTCATTTTCGCTCATACATTTCGTATTTTAGACACGATATTTACGCATACCGGACAAGTTCTGAGCCCACGATCAGAAGAATTACTAACACGAAACTGTACTTGTAGTGGAACTCGCGATTCTCTCTCACGCTACGATTGCCTTTATTCATACATCCGTCGAAGAAAAAATTGAGGGAGGATCTATCTCTACGGATAGAAAGAAACGTCTAAAACAGAATTGTTATAGTTTTCTGTCTATCGATTGCAATTTGATGAAATTTGAAATGTTCATAATTGAATCACGTAATGACTCGTTCGACAGTGAGAAAGTAGAGGAAAACATAAAAAAATTTATTTTATACATGCCGTTAACAATTGATCTCCCAATTGTTTTAAATACTTAACTGTACTTATTGCTATTATCTACAATAATAATACATTACAAATCATCGAGATCTGATTAAAATAAGCGCAGACCGTTTTAGAGAACTACAAGTCGGACTTATAAACTTCTTGACAAAGTCTGAGCCCCGTACGTATGACTTATTAAATCCGATTCGAACCTCGCTAATAATCTCTCATCGACCCTGTCACTGCTACAGAAAACGGGTTTTCGCTTTGGTTGCAACATGTGCCTGATATTCTCGTAATTTACGTCCATTTCCTTGAACGCGTTTAACAGAAAAATTGCGATTATTACAATGAGGAAAGCAGAGATCGAACCCAGTATATCCTCGATGCTCATGTTCTCCCATTCCCTAAACAATATAGCCGACGCGACTATTACTAACGAGGTAAAGCACACGTAGTAAATTGGTGTGACGATCGTCGTTTCGAACAGATCGAGTGACCTGTTCAAATAATTCATTTGAATGCTTATACAAATTATGACAGCGAACAAGAAAATCCACGTCAACGAGTTCGCAAATCCGTTACTAAGTCCGGTAATAGTTTCTTTCAAAGCAAGGCCTAGCCCCTTGCAACTTACGACGGATAACGAACCCACCGAGGAACACAGCCAAATGTAGACTAGAATATTTTGTTTCCCGTAAATGGGGCCAAGATAGAATATAATTAAAACGCTGCATAATATCACAATGAAGACGTAACTGAGGAAGCCTAGAGCTTCCACTTTATCTAGAAGCTCATCCAGAGTACTGACTTCTTCTTCCTTTGGTGAATGAATCACGAAAATCGTGGAGCCTAAGATACAAAGGGTGCATCCAATCTGAAAGGAAAGATACAGAGTGGATGAAATCTGATTTTATTGTTGGAATTATGCGCGCGTTTCAGTGGGAAGTTCTCACCTTTCCCAACAAATTCAGCTTTTCGTTTAAGTACTTGGATGCCAATATCGCAGATACCAAAACGCTAAGTGCCCCTAACGGAGTGACCAACGAAGCTGGCGCGAACGCGTAAGCAGCAAAATTAGCTGCTTCTCCAATACCCACTTTATCACAAATCGATCGCAGTTAAACGAAGATACATGGAACACGTCGAGCAGACGTATACATACTTGATAAAAGACCAGTCCACCACATCCACTCTTTCAAGTAGCCAAATCCACCGGACGAAGCGCGTACCCCGCCACGTCTTTGGAGACGCATCAACGCCAATTTTTTAATTATGAAACTAGCGCCTAAATAAGATCACGGAATAAATGAAAGTTAGGAAAATGATTAGTAACGATACTTATACCATCTTATTACACGTTGCTCAAATTACACTAACCTATGAACCCGCTGGAACTGATTGCTAAACCTAATCCTATATAAAAATTTGTCCCATCGTACGGTTTTGTGTCAGCTGTGTCTTTCATCGTACTACTCATGTTTATATTCATTTGTATTTCAATTCCGATGTCACTATTTGACAAACGTCAATTTACAATTCATATATCCCACCGAACTGTCTGTTACGAATCGTTTATAAAGAAATAGCTACGGGCATGAGTATCACATCCTACACTCAGTAAACATTCTTCTATTCACACTGTTTTGATTGTTATAAACGTCGGTCAATGAATTGTAAAAAATTGTCGTTCGTCTCCTTCGTCTCACATTTCGTCGACGAAAAACGTGACGAGAACTACGACTACGACCACGACCACATATAAAGTAGGCACGAATACAAATGCACAACGACTAGTACATATATACGTGTATAAGTGGTGTGGACCAACAAAGTTGAGTGCGACAAGAGAGATAACATACGTCCGTATATATAACGATAGCTGAATTAAACTTGAACGTGATCAGTTAGAATCGGGAGACGGTATACACGGAATGTCGGAATCAATGATCAGGCAATGATCCGGGCTCGAGCAGCATTCAACATTTTTTATTACCGTAATGGATGAGAATTACAAAAGCTCATTCAACGAATAAACGAAACGTGGAGATAAAATAGAATACTAATGGAAACGATGACGAAGATAAGATAAATGATAGAAATCGAGTGACTGCTACCAACAAGTTTGCTTATCGACCAGTAGCGCTTTTAGAATTCTTTGACACATCAATTTCATTGTATGCGTAGGAACCACGGAGGTGCATAATATGCAAAGTACATGATCGCCGTGTTTCACTGCGTAACATTTGTGGTATTCGGAGCACAGATAAGTCTCCTTCGCGCCGACAAACTTGTCGGAGCTGTTGGGTGGATCCACCTCGCAATCGGAATCATATTCGGAAGTTGACATGAAAGTCTCGACGGCTTGGTAATAAAAGGTTCTCAGTATGTCCAGTCTATGCGAGCCAGTGACTCTGCTCCTCGTGTACAGTGCGTTTTTCCCGAGTACGAACTTCTCCGTCTTGTGATTTGCTAACAGAAATCTAAATACGCGGAGAAGAAGAATTAGAATAAGAAGTAAACGTGGTCTGTTGATAGTGCACGTCGATGTACGGACCCGAGCGTTTCGGGATCTAAATTGATCGATGCAGGTAAATTTCGTGGATAGCATTGTTCCGCGTTGCGTACAGCGTCGATGCTGGTCTTCCAACATTGTACGGCGAATCTTTCGATCTCCGATATATCCGGATTCGGTCCACACAAAGCCAATACTTTAACTTGATCGATCAACGTAACGCAAACCAGCCTGAAAGCCACCTACACGACCTCTCGTTACAAATTCGTTTCTTCCTAAATCCGTTCGCATTTGAACGCAGCTATGCGCAGCAATGCGCAGTATGCAAGATGTATTTACATTTGGACTTTTGTATGGTAAAAAGACTGGCACGTCCCGGGTAGTGTACGTGTCTTCGTTACTGACAGCTATAGTTAATAATTTCCTCTCGACAGGATGTAAGCTCCACCATCCTTTCGTTGCCACAGCTAAACATCCATGTATCAAGATGCATCCATACGTAGAATCCAAGCATTCGGTGTAACCTTCTAAGCAAGTCTTAAACGCATTCTTAAATCGCGTGTAGAGAACTTGTTTCAATATTGGAATTGATCAATTTACCTGGAACAGGCTGTTTTCTTGACACATTATGCATTCGGTCATATCGATGATGTCAGTTTTCGCACAAATTCCATCTCCTACGTCGAGGCAATGCAACAGGTTGTCAACAATAGGATTACACAAGCGTATGTCTTTCTTTAACTTCTCGATGTTCCTCGCATTTTTCAATTCCTGGCTACCGACGAACAAAACCATCGCGCCATAAACAGTATCGAGAAACTTGTCTAACACGTTCTTCGTAGTTCCGCTGGCTATAACTATCAGAATCACGCTTTGATCGAATTCTTTCCACGTTATCATGGTGTCCGGTAAATTTGTATACAACAGTCTGACGTTTTGCGATTTGAGGAACATGTGTATCCCGTATAGAGACGCGATCTTGGAAAACGTCATCTATGAAAATGTATTAAAAAAACCAGGAAGAGCTTGCGTCGCGTTAAACATTGTAAAGTGGAACGTCCAAAGGCTAGAGTAGGTTCTTTATAATTTACCGTATCACCTTCCCCTTTATGTCGCGAAAACAATGGGATTCCTCCAGCAGAAGTCAAACACATGACGTGAGCTACCATAATTTTTTATTTCAATTCTCTCGAATCGAGCTAAATTATACTGTGATAGAAGATATGCTGGCGTACCGTCATGTAAACCATGTAAAATGTAAACTGGCGGCCTGTAACCTAACCTATAATCGGAGAGGAAGTGAGTAACGTCTGAAGTCAGCAATTAGTAGTTCGATGTTCGATAGTACGAGACAGTACGAAAGATGTGATAAATACGTACGCGCGTATGAATTTTAAACTTTGCGCCGATCGGTATAAACGAATTATAATGTATATTATAATTCTATACTTGCGTACGTACGTATGCATACAATTATTGATTCTATTGAACAACTTGAAAAAAAATTGATCCTTCTGTCCTCACTATTCGTCGTTAATCAAATCGTTCGTCAACTGCAAAGATTGCTGGTCGAACGTTTGCATCATATTTTTGAAACACGGATCGATATTACAAATCAGGATTAAATTATGAAGGGGGTTGCACTGTTGTAGAGGTAGACAGGACATGAGAACTTTTGTACAATCGTAAGCATTCTATAAGTGAATTTTTAATTTAGAACAATTATCCAAAATATATATGTATATATACAAAGTTTAATATATTATACGAGCTTACAAAACTAACTCTTTTCCTCTACTATCTTTCATAATATATATAATTACAAAGCAAAAAACGGATGTTACAAAATGTACAATCATGATTCGAATCTTTCACAATTTTCCTATGTCATATATGAGAATACAAACAGATCCGTATTGAAATATCTATGTATGCACTCGTATGTATGCACGTGTACGTAACTATTGATCTTTCCAACAACAGGTGGCAACTATTATCTCACATTACGTGTACGATAATAGTGATGTATATGTATATACATGTACGTACACGTGTACTTTGTAGAATATATAAAAATATTCGTTCTCGTGCCAGAATAAAAGATATATGCATATATACTTGTCGTTTGTCTCAACCATCTTTTCGATTTACACGAGTTTTAACATGTCGATCGTATAAAATATATATATATATATATGTGTGGGTGTATATATATATATATATATCGTAGACGTTTACCTTTCGTTTACACATTGCCTATGTCCACTGGTACAAAGAAATTGCTAGTTCGACGATGATCAAATACCCACGTAAACAAATGGAACAGTTTCTTACACTTAATTTTACTTAATAGGAAACACACGTTAAGGTCACTTTTCGTGATTGTGTACGAATACGAAACAATAGATAGACGTACAGACAATAAGATTATAGTAAACGATTAAAGGTACCGTGTGCAATCGAATTGCTCGGTGCATTAGCGACAAATTGTAGAACAGAAGACGATAACGTCATTGTAATCGATACGATACGAGTAGAGCGTAGTAGAGCGTGTTCTCGTTTCGTCTCTGAAAGGGCCTCCTTCTACAGTATTCTGATCGAGCGAGAAACTATCGAAACAGAGAGCAATCAATTGGTTTCTATTGCCGTGTCCGAACGAAAGAAAGCGTTATGTTACGAGAAAATATTAGGATCGATCGTCCGAACAATCTCCTAAACCTTTCGAATCCGTTTTCTCGTTCTGCAAGAAATTACATTTATTTATAGACATAATGTACAGATTGGTACAAAGCATTAATCGTTTTGGTCGTGGTTCCAATATAGTATATATTATTCGCTTGTATTTTCGATTATGTGAATCACATTATTAACGACACGTCAGAGTCCATTCTCGGCTCGTCGGTCAAACATTTTTTTCGCTAATCAGGTATCATCTTTCGTTCCCCTTAATTTAATCTAGATTCGATGCGAGTTATCCACACTTTTAATTGCAAATGGTTTCGCTTGAGAAAGTGTAAGACGCTCTCGAGGGATGAGTTGACGTGATAATATTTTCTTAAAATTACAGAGTAAAACCCAGAAGGTAGAAGATCGAAGTTTAGATGAAAATGAGAGTTTGAGAATGAATGAGCGAATGGGCGAACAAGTAAAAGAAAATACGAGAGACAGGAGAGAGAGAGAGAGAGAGAGAGAGAGAGAGAGAGAGAGAGAGAGAAATAGAACGAGTAAAAAGGGAAAAGTGGTCTAAAGATTAAAAGCTGCATAAAATATGCAATGAACACATTACATCCATTCAAGAATCTGTACAGTAACAGTTAATAGTACTAATTATTTATATTTGTTGTTATCAATCGTTCAATGTAAAAAAAAAGTTAAATAAGGCCAATAGGTTTAAAAGCCGCATTACTCTAATTATCTGCAATATCACAGTACTTGCTGAAACATACAAACACACGTTTCCGATAGGCACATGAGCCGATACCAATGCAAATGGCAAGCACATTCTTTTCTTTACGCATACGTATATTGTCTAGCCACCGATTACTTTCTACTTTTTCTTCGAACATCGATCACATACATAGCTCGTAATTGTTGCACGTCCGAAAAACTAATACGCTCCCCAGAAATTTTGCGTTACTTTTCCTCTATTCACTTTTCACCGCACTTCAGAAGGAGTAGGGACGATCGAAAGAACTTGCTCCCAACTTGATTGTATGCTCGGTGTTTGATGGTAGCAACAAAAAACAGAAACGATAAACGCATGACCTGGTCAAAAGTTTCCGATTAACTATAGAAGAATCTGCTACTTCGAAAGAAAGCGGTTCGTTTAACGATTTCACGATTACAACGAGGAGAAGAATAAGAGATGGAAAAAGAGAAAAAAAAAGTTGGGAAAAACAAACGAATATGATACGATATTGAAATTAAGGAACAAACGCGAGGGTTTTCGTCTCCTGTATGACCGTCATTTTTCTTGCGTAAAACGTAGTACGGTATATACTTAATGTTCGTTAACGATTTAGCACATTAGCTGGCCGTAAACGTACTAAAGAGAAAGAGGAGCACGGAGAGAACTCGGTGCGCACGGCTGGCTAACGACATTCACGATTCGTATTATCCTACCTACTCGTCGATCCTAAGAAAACTGTTTCAGAAAATATTTACACAGATACTTGTTATATTTTTGCATTCGTTCTTCGAACAAACTCGTACGAAATATCGAGCCACCTCCGACTTAACGAATAGAAAAGAAAAAGATGCTACATCTACTGTCATACGTAGACCGGACCTTGATTATCGTTATCGTCCAAGCTTATTCGACTAGGATACGCGGGACCACCACCATCATCAAAGAAGCGCCTAAAAGTAAATTCGAAGAAACCGTGAAAGGGTTTCCCGTTGTCGAGCAACTCGTCGGACTTGTTGGAATCGGAAGATTCCGAGTTTCGTAATTTGTCGGGATCCACAGGATCGAAATTACTAGTATCGGTTGGATACTGTATCCGAGGTATATGAGGAGCTACTTGCCGGCGTAGACCCTTCTCAAAATCGATACTCGTAAAAAATGGATGACTCTTTACCTCGTCCGCGTTCTTACCTAACCGACGATCCGCGCCGACGCACAATTTTAATATCAAATCCATACCTTCCGCGGAGAGGTTCGCCTGCTTCGGGATGTGCAGAGTGGTCTCCCAATTGATCACCTAGGACACGTCCACGGGTTTAATACACGAGCGAAAGGAAGGTTCTTTTACGAAACCTTCACGAGTAGAATCAGACCGCGGATTTGACGCGCTCGAAGAGAATGTACGGAAAATATATACCTTGTATTGTGTCTCGGCGGGGGTGTTGGCATTGAACGGCGGCGACCCGACCAACATTTCATACAAGATGACACCGACGCTCCACCAGTCGCACAGCTGGGTATATCCCGTCCTCTGCAACACCTCCGGTGCGATGTAGTTCGGTGTTCCGACAAGCGAATGCGCCAAGCATCTCTGGTGTTCTCTGTGCCTTCTGCGTTCCAAAGGTTTCAACTGAATGCAACGACACTCGTTATTCCAGTCGTCGGCCGGGTCCATCGAGTCTTGTTTTCCGTGTCCTGTTTTCGCGTTTACACATATTACTCACGCGCCACCGCGTAAAAGTAAAGACTGTCAAGATCTAGCCACGTACCATTTTGCTGATAATACTTGGAATTATGGGTCCAACGGAATCCTGTGCACAGGCCAAAGTCTGTCAACTTTATGTGCCCGTCCCGATCGATCAAAATGTTATCCGGCTTAATGTCTCTGTGGATGAAACCCATCTTATGAACACTTTCTACTGCACACGTCAGCTCGGCAATGTAAAATCTAGCCAGAGGTTCCTTGAAGATGCCGAACTTGATCAACAACGACATCAGATCACCGCCGGGTATGTAATCCATTACGAAATACAAATTATCCTTGTCTTGAAAGGAATAGTACAGTTTGACGACCCACTCGTTGTCAGCCTCCGCCAATATATCCCTCTCGGCTTTAACGTGAGCCACTTGATTACGATTCAACACGTCCGCCTTTCTGAGAGTCTTCATCGCGTAAAACTGATTCGTGTCCAGCTTCCTGACGAGAGTCACTTCTCCGAAAGCACCGACCCCGATCGGCTTGATCTTCGTGAACATCGACTTGTCCATTTTCGCTCGCTTCAGTCGAATGTAATTCGATTCCTTCTGCGACAACATCTTCCTCATTTGACACTGGGCCTCGGCGCTGAGCCCGATCTTAGCCATTTCCGTCTCCAGCTGAAGCCGACGATACAGCCGCTGCTTGTGAGACTTCAACACGTTCTCAACGTGCTGTTCCATGAAGAACTTGAACGCCTGAGGAGAGTAGTTACGAACTTTGCAATCCCTCCGCTCTTCCTCCTTCTCTTTGCTCATGTGTTTGCGCTCCGGTATCGGAGACTGATGCTTGATCTTATAGGACGACGGCGAGGAACTGGTTCCTCTCGGCCCGTTGCTCTCCGGCGAATGATTATTGTTATTATTGTTATTGTTGTTGGTGGCTACGGCGGTGTTGGTAGCGTTGTTGTTAATGCTGTTCCCATTGCTGCCGCTGTTATTGTTCATATTCCCACCGCCGCTGTTGTTGGTGCCAGCGTTTCCGTTACTACCGCTACTGCTGTTACCTGCACTGTTCGCGTTGCCGCTGTTACCATTGCCAGCGTTTCCCGGTCTCGAGGGCATGGCGGACGCCGCGGGAGGTGGCAACGGCGGCGGTTCCGTAGAATGCTGGCATCCTACGGGGTCGGCCGGTGAATATTTCCTCTGTAACGGAGGGTGCATCGCGACCGGCGACGATCTAAGGGTATTCGTTTCCATCCCCGAGTCTTCGGCAGCGGCCGTGCCATACGGCGGAGGCGGAGGAACAGGATGATGCATGCCCCGTTGGGCCGCCAGAGCTTGCATCGTTGTAGCGTAACTAGGGGGTTCCGTGGTCGGTACACCCACCGAAACACCGATACTGTTCGTTGACGTTGCGACGACGTTGTTCACGGGTGGGTACGCGGGCGGCGGTTGTTGCGACGACTGCTGCTGCGGCGTCTGCTGCTGCGGCGACTGCTGCTGCGACTGCTGCTGCTGCTGCTGCTGCTGCTGCGACTGCTGCGACTGTTGTTGCTGTTGCTGCTGCGACTGCTGCTGCTGCTGTTGTTGCTGCGACTGCTGTTGCGACTGCTGCTGTTGCTTCTGTTGGATAGAAGTTGCGTAAGACGGAGGCGGGGGAGGTGTGTTACTGGTCGTAGAAATCGGCTGTGGCGAAGTCGGCGCGATTGCCGTTTGTAGGACAGGTTTTTGCACTTGAGTACTCTTAACGGACTGCATGATGATCGGTGGTTGAGTCTTCGCCTGTCGCGCGCCCCATGCCTGTAACGGGGTCGGTCTGGCCATCGAGGCTTGCGTGCTCGGCGATATTGCGGAGACGGTGATCGGGCTCGGAGAACCGGCAGCGGACGTTGGCCCGGAATAGATGCCGGACGAGGGACTCTTTCGATAGTCCTGTTGAGATTGTGTGGGGCTCTGTCTGTTTTGCATCGAGGCACTGTAAGACGGTGGTTGCACCGGGCAGGTAGACGGCGAGGAGACTATGGGATAAGGGGGTGGTGGTTCGACTTGAGTATTGGCTTGGTTACTGCCCGTCTGATAAATACTGAGCGCTTGTATCTGTTGAGAGAGTTGCTGCTGTACTTGCGGTCCGTTTTGCACGATCATCGGTTGACGGCAGTTGGAATTGTTGTTAGAACTCGCGACCGGACTCGTACCTCTCTGAGGTAGATTGACCGAGGTCGAAATCGGGCCGGTGTTGCCCGGCGTGGTAGGAGGTGGCCGCGTCGGCACCACCGGCGCGGGGGACATCCGCTTCAACATCTGTTGCATGTTGGTAGGCACGTTCGGTTGATTGTACGGCGCGTGAGGTGGAGGCGGCGGCGGCGGAGTAGAACTACATCTAGGCGGCGGAGGAGGAGGTGGTTCTCGTTCGACGAAATTACTCGGCGAATATTGGCGACTCAACTGCGGATGCGGGCTCAGCTCGGTCAAGCGCGGACTGTCCGATCGCGAGCTTCCCGCTCCGCTGTCCAACGCCGGACTTCCACGCTGCAGGCTCAGCTCCCTTTCCAAGCTGGGCTTTCTTATCAATTTGCTGTTCAGTTTCCCGAGCCCGTTCAGCGTCTCCCCTTGGGCCTGCTTCAAGTATTCGATAGCTGCATCCAGCCGCCAACCAGCCAACTTCAACGCGCGTAACGCGATCTCCTGCAAATTTTCACCCCGCGTGAAACCGTCGGTTGAAAGCGAGAAGCGAACGAACCGGAAATTTGCAGATCGTTCGAGCGATATCTTACCTCTGAGTATCCCATTGCTAGCAACTGCGATAACAATTGTCGTTGATCGGATTTATCGATCGTAGAACCCGAGGCTCCGGAGAGACCACTGAGACCCGAAGCGGAACTGATACCGCTGGTCGTTGACAAGGTGGATATAGTGCTGGCAGCACTGGAACCCACGTCCCCTGCACCTCCGATGTTAGCAAAGGGTAGCAGAGAATTACGAATTTCGGCTAAAGCCTTCTGATGATATCCAGAGCCACGAGTGCTCGATTTGTTAACTGCGGGTGGATTCATAGTGGCCCATGCTAGGCCCTCTCCGACCTAGCTTTAATCTGGCTGTGACATATATATATATATACACATACATCTAAAACATAATAAAACAATTCACTTTCGTACACGATAGAAATCGTTGTCAAAGAGGTTCTTGTCCTATTCTACAACATCCTTTTTTATTCTCTCCAAAAACGTTACGTACCAAGTTACGCGTTCTACTAACATCGATGTTACGACGAGTCTCGCGTATTAAGATACTCGTTAGTCACCGTCAGGTAAGACTGTACGATTTCGATTACGATTGATCTCCCGTTAATTAGGCTGCTATATCGTAAATCGTTCGAATTACTGGTCTCTCGCGTAGAGACGTTATGGGTCTCGTACGATCCTGTTATCGATCTCAATTAGTTATCGAATTGGAAACGATCGTTGAACGCGAATAAATATTAGCCCAGTCTTACGATTCACTCTGTCGTCTGTACATAATGCTCTGTTCGATCAAGGATCTAACCTATTCATTAGATGCGTGACGGATCGATCCTAAGTCCTTCGTGCATGAAACGAGATTCGGTAGCGCACACTTTCTTCGGAATTGGCCGGACATCGGCTGAGAAATACTTTGTTGAAATAGGTTTAACTGAAACGGCAATCAGCAGGAGGAGAACGACTTCAAAGCATATTCTATTATCGCGTTTTCACAGATCGCGCGTAACGAGGGTAACGTGCACGTACAACTTTTGGTTCACTATTTTCGCTTAAAACTAATTCTACGCTACTCCGATACGCGGCCGTAATTACTTCAACAACAACAAAGAAAGATACAGCCGTAAATTACTAAAGTAACTGGCAGCCATCTTGAAGTGCCACATTCCTACACCAACTTGACACTCTTTTTCGTAATTTACAATATACCTAGAAACGATACCCGTAGGGTTGGTGCGCCTATAAACAAATCATTTTTCCCAATTGTCGTTCAGTACTACAATGCTATAACGTTTACCGTCTGTGCGTCCGACAAATTTAACTACATCTCCAGGCAAAGCATATTCAAAATATATACGTGTATATGTATTATCTGCATTTACATTTACGTATTCCCGTACATGTGCACACATACATACGTCGACAAAGTGTACATGAATAGCTACCACATGAACGGCCACGCAAAAATTTCTCTACCATTTTACAAAACTACATACGTATACGTACGACATGTAAATAAGTATACTACGTATGTATTTGCTTATACTTCTATCCAGATGAGTGTCACCATCTTGTTATTGTTACTTAACGCTTCGCGTACAGAATCGTTGAAGGCACAAGGAACAGCTGGAAAAGTTTTATTAGCTTGCCTATAATTCGACGGTCATTAATAATTTTGTAAACTTGATATTGTCCTGCCACCTAGCGACGTACGTTTGGAAGTAATATCCGAAAAAAAGAAAGTGCAAACTTTGTGAGACACGCATAGCGAAATAAAATGAATCTTGAGCACGCTTGTATCTCCTGCAGCTCTAAAACGCGCGAGCGAACTTCTCGATTTTGAGATTGACATTTCAGCTCCGTAAGTAGTCAAACATTGTCAAATTCAATGTTTCGGCACGACAAAGCAACGCAGCCCTTATCTTTCGGTCATACCGTGAGCGTAGTGGAGGGGTGCGGCGTGTGTTGCCCCCCAGCCGTCCGACACAGGGATCTCGTAATTTTTCGCTTCCCCTGTTTTTCGCCCGTATTTCGATCCCCACTACTATTCCCCTCATGCGTGCTCATGCGCGTTCGCGAAGCTCTCCGCAGCGCTATGGTCCCCACCATGGTCGCGTCGTCCCCACTTTCCGGCCGTGGGTAAAAATATCTCAACCCTGCGACACGGTACCAGGAGAAACACTAACGCGCGCGTAAACGCATGTATACACACACGCACACGTATACACGTGTTACATGTGATTAACAATGAGAAAGAAGGAAAAATAATCACAGCATATAAGTAATTTGTTCATTCCCGCACGATTTTCCGAGCAACAAGAAGTTGGACGTTGCGCTGGGTCCAAATTCTATCAGATTTAAGAATGTTATCGCATAGTTTTTTACGGTTAACAATTCAGACGTTCGGAGTTCGTTGAGCTCCTCCACTCTGGTTTATGTAACCAAATTAATATCTGTTATTCTTTCGATGTTGAAACCGTTTTATTCGAATCTCGACTCTATGCGCGTCACTTTCTGTTCGTTCACCTCTCGAAGGAAAACAATAATCATTTGCAATTCACGCTGACGATAAGTATCTACCGTGCGTATCTCGTTAGTGGATCGTAAGGGAAACGTAAACCAGAAGATAGAGGCAAACAATTAACGTTAAGATGAATCGCGTAAGGAAATTGCTATCGAGTAAAGAGACTCGAGAGTATTTTATGAGGCAAGTTACGTAAACTTAATGGATACGTATATCTATACAAGTATTGTACGATGTATATGCGCGTTGCTTGCACGTGGATAATTCGCAACCTGTGTTTCGATGATTCACGCGTTCGATCGATTCGAAGGAAACGATAGCGTCTAAATAATTGAAAATGACAAACGAGCATCATGTGAAAATCGACGTTCTGTTGCAGTACGCATTTCTGGGGACCTATAGCTAATTGGGGCATTCCAATCGCAGCAATCGCTGACACGCAGAGGGATCCGAAATACATCAGTGGAAAAATGACATTCGGTTAGTCCGTGCTTACACGTTTCATACTCTTATACACGCAATTGTTAACTAAGTTGTGTATGTTCGTGTATTACGTCTCCTACATACCATACGGGAAAGATCGTAATCACGTCTAACCTAACCCTATTTCGCTCGTTGGCCGGTTGCATTTTTCATTTACGTTTAACAATATTATAACTTCTGAACCGTGGAAATACCGTGATCGTTTTATCCGACATCGAGATATCATGAGAGTTAGTTCACGGTACGTTCTGAAGTTTATTGAAAACGGGGCGACGGGCAACTGTGCGTAAACATTGTCGAGTTCGAATATCGTTACGTCCCATTGTCGATTTAAGCAGGATATTCGAACGCGACTAATTAAAAACTAGAAGGATGCGTGTAAACTCCTTAATATTTTATCCTATTCATCATTTCCAGCTTTGTGCTTGTATTCTGCGATGTTCATGCGTTTTGCGCTGAAGGTCCAGCCACGAAATTTACTTCTATTTGCCTGCCATTTTGTGAACGAAGGTGCACAGCTCACGCAAGGTACTAGATTTATTAATTATCATTATCTAAGTAAGGGGGAATAATGATAAATCATACGGTACAAAGTAGCCAAAGTTATTGAAGGTGCAGTGTGTACCTGTGTCCTATCGATCTATCCAAAGAATATTTCCTTTGTCGTTCGTTTCTCCGAATGATCTTTATTTATGTAAATTAAAAGCACACACAAATATATATATATGTATATATTGTAACACGATTTTCATTGTTAATAACAACCAATAAATTGAACAGTTACGATACAGAGATACCTTTTACAAGGCACACCTGACCTGTCGTCGATCAACGTTATTTATATTCCCTTAACAAAAGACTTGATGGTTCCAAGGTAACGTGAAATAACGAGACACAGATTGTATTTGAATAAATGGACGGAATTTACTGTACATTGTATAGTTATAACTTATACGAAAAACAGTTCGCAGTATTAAAAATACAAAAGTGTTATAAACAGCATTAAGCTCTGTGACGATAAGGCCTCAGCGTACTTGTAAACTCGACAATTCTTCGAAACGAACAGTACGTGTTACGCGCTCATAGCGCGAAAGCTGCCGAGCATCAAAAAGATTATAACGTGATGCGTATTACAAAGGTTCCCTTCTTTAACGTTGAAGGCACTATCTTCTTAGGTCTCTATTAATAATCTCTATTCTCATGTTTCGTCGGTCATTACTGTGACGAACTTATTAACTTCTGATCAAATAGTACATGATCACAAAGGTCAATAGCAATAATTTATTAACTTCAATGGTCGAAGCGCCAGCTAATCGACACTTGAACATGTCATACCTGAAAGTAAGATGTTGATTTACGGTCAAAGTTCGTCTGGAATGATGACTGACATAATGTAATCAACCGATAGGTTACCTGGTCTCTTTGTCGTTAACTAAATTAGTAAATTCGGCTTCTACCAATTGCCCATCGTAATACGTGATCAAATCCTCGAAAGGATATTCGAAGGCCTGTCTGCATTCACACTTGTATCCACCGGTCTCGAAGCCTCTCCCGAGGATAGGCACGCACTGCGCGACGATGCAAAAATAATAAAAGCAATAGATTATAAACAGTGGAAGTAGAAATGTATGCTAATATCCAAGTTAAGGAAACGTACGTAGGACGTTTTTCTGTCACACTTGTGAGTACCCTTGAACGCGTTTGGGGCGTAGAACACATCGTCGCATTGATTGATGTCAAGCTGCAGTAGATCCATGGTAACAGCTACGACGCCCCTAAAGATTTTAATGTGAAATATTATCTTCCCCGTCTCTCCTCGGTTCCCGTCCTCGCTGTACCACCAAACAGGTTTCCTCTCCTCGTGGGCTATCTCGCATTCGATTTCTCATGCGCACACGACGACACCGCGTACGTAGACGGCAATACTCACTTGAATTCCAGTTTCTCTCTCAAGCTGTCCCAGCCGAAAAATGGGGATGCATAGGTAATTACCCATTTCTTCACTTTGCCGTTGCAATCAAAGTACGGGGTAGTCCAGTGTCCGTGATTCAGGTTTGCCGCCCTATACAAATGACCCCATGCATTCCCACGCATTAAAATAAATCCTACTCGACGAGATCGATTCTCCCCTTCCATCTCGAATACGTATATTTCCCGCTCGCATTAAATGATATTCTTACGACGAATAGACACGCTTGTTCTTACCTGTACGAATTCGGATAGTGTTCATATTTTTTTAGGTATTCGCCGGTTTCGTTAAATCTGATCTTCATTTTCATGAAGAATTGTTCCAGTTCATCGAAATTAGTTGCCCATCTTTGTTTCAATAAGCGGAAATAATTCTTTGTCGTGTAAACTTCGGCTATAATAGATGAGATGAATAATTAAACGTTAGACCGAATGACGAGAACGAACGGACGAATTATATCTGCGTTACCTGTGTCGTTCAGTCTGGCTAGGTCCTCGACTTTAAACTTTCTGGTATTCAACTGCGTTTTGTAAGCGTACGGTGCGAAGAACGTTCTATTCGTGAATTTGTTACGATCCCAAAGCATTTCGGCGGACCATATTTTTGTGTCTCCGAGGACAAGAGCCAGAGTTTCTCCGATCATTTGATCTTCGGTGAGCGGCCTGTCGGCCACCCGTTTGCCCGAATAGACTTCGTGTGGATCGGAGATCTGCAAAAACGCGCTGATAAAATTCGCTAATCTCGTTGCCATCTTTGCTTCGTTTTCGAAGAATTCTTTCGCGCCGAAGCTTATGTCCCCGCGCAACGTTAACTCCTCTTGCGTGTAACTGCAATTTTAAACACGCCAAATGTAATCGTTTGTTTCTTATTTCTTACGAACAACAATTCACGTTCTATCTCTTCGTACTTCGTGCAAGTTTTCGGATTTACGCTCAATATGAATTTAAGAGCTTGATCTATGTTCATCCTCTCGGATCTGATAGATTTCGGACCGGTGGAATAATTTTTATAATGATAGTGCCGTTCCAAATATTTTTCTCTGACTTCCGGCCTTGCCCGCTTCCACTCTACCGGCATTTTATGAATCCCTGAAATAACAAGGGAACACACGCGAGTTACAAACACGAGGGAAACAGTACTAACAGCGATACAGAGAACCCACATCCTATCTTAGTGCAGTCGAACCCATTGTAATATTGTTCCTGAGTCGCCCTTTCTATAATTTCCCCTAAATACGGACGTCGCACCACGTTTGGTAGTCTAAAACCTGGTTTACATCTGCATTGATACCCTCCTCGTCGAAAACCCCAGCCGTGCAATGGCTCGCACTAGAAAGAATATCACGTTATGCAAAAATCGTGGATTAACGGGAACGCGATATCGTTCATTTCACGCTCCGTACTTCCGTAGTTTCATCTTTACATCTGGCAGTATTTGCAAATCTGTTCGGACCGCTGTTCCCCTTTCCTTTGGGACACTGATTTATATCTATCCTTTCAAAATCCATTTCTATCACCGATATCGCGGTATACCTGAAACAGATGATCATCAATTTCAACGAAACCCGATCCACCGACAAATCGCGATGGAAGAAACTTCATAAAATTATACACGCACGTTGGGTATTCGATGTGTCTGAATCCCGTGTGTCTTGGATAAATATCTGCGATAGGTACAACCGCTGCCACGAGCCATCTGTTCGATCTGCCGCAATCGAAGTATGGCCTGGTCCATTTTACAGGCCCAGGATATTCGTCGGCACCTGTGCAACACCGCGATGGTAATAAAATATACCGCGTAGAAACTTAATTGTCTCGTACAAATTAAACGAACATTACCAGGTGGTCCGTGGAACGTAAATGTTTCATTAGTGTTGTTGGCATATCGAATTTCGACTTGATAAGTGGTTTTGGTATCGTGTCTCTTGTCGACGTTATCCGGTAACCACTTTTTAAACCTAAAGTACAAAACATACGGTGAGTACTCGCACGAGACACAGGCCTCGTTCGAATAGACAATCGATCTACCATTCGTTTATACGATAGAAATCTGTTGTATAATCCTGGCCCAGATTGCCAGCAGCGAATGCGCCGAGATCTTGCACCGTAAACGTGTTTCTCGTAGATATTCTCTCTAAATGTATGGGATCGTTAAAATCGTCGGCCCTGAATGTTCGCGGAGCAAATCTGGGCATGGTCTTGTTGAAGAATCCTCTGTAGGACGGGGAATAGGACATGTTCGGGGAAAAGTATATGGCAGAAGCGTTTATGTACGGGTTCGCGGAGATGTCAGCGACCGTTGACAGGAAATAATACATCATCCCCGGATCGTAGGTGTCGTTGATCGCGGGCCGAATGAACCGAGATTGAAGGATGTAACTCCAAAAGTACGACCTGCTAAGTGCCATGTTGTGAAGATGCAACAGAGCGGTTCTATTCGGGAACACAGGGTTGATGTTGATATCTTTGATATCCGGTATATGAGAGACCGAGTCCTCCGGCAAATAGAGATCTCCGAGATGTTGAATCGGGCAATTGTCCTCATTGATCTTGTCCATTCTTAAACGGATTTCGTCGAAGGCATCTCTGGGTTGCCATTCGTACTGTCCAACGCCAACGCCCAAGCAGCAGAGCCCGACGATGATCGCTCTCGCGTATAATTTAGAGCTGATCGACTGCATCTTTCGACGATATGACTCGCTACGTTTACTTCCTGTTATATCGGTTCATCCTAACGCGTCGAAAAAACGAAAGAAATAGCTAACGCGTCAAAGAAACGAAAGGAATAGCTACGCGTATCGTTCACCACACCTGCCTACACTTACTACGGGACAACTACAAGCACGCCCAGTCTAGTTCGTCAGAGAGAATACTACGCGCGTCCACTTACTATAGTACCCACGCAAACGATTTCGTTTCGCCTGCATCGTCGATTTTCAATTATTGTATGCTGTCAGTACATAACAGAACTGAACCACCATCGCGGTTTCACAGATTTTTTTTGGAGTAACGATAACATATTTATCGAAAAGGAAATACAATAAAACCGCCTTTATCCGAGGCCTGACATTCTATATCCTCTTGAAGTTAACATTCTTAATGAGAACCTAACCGTTGCACTTAATATAATATATACATACATGTGCATTTTTAATACACATGTTCGTCGAATTCATTCATCGTTCACATACGTACATACAGTTGTATGCAGTTCAATTGATTTTCATAGATCAGACGATCAAGCGAATTGTATATTGCATTCTTTCCGTGAGAACTTGCGAAGCAAAACCAGTCATCGGACAGGACTGCATTCTATTGGATTCTATTACTTATTCGGTTTATGAAACAAAACGAGGTAACGCGTTTATGCCGTTTCATGTGTACACAACGAATCGCCATTATTCGGTAGCATCGTGCGATTTACTGAAACACTCCGTGGATATATTTTAGAAAATAATTTCGCGGCCAGCAACGTGTTAACGGTACGATACGTGGACGCTGGGTAATTTTTATCCCTTTCAATGCACCACGGAGGAAATGTCTACGGCGAGGAATGTTTTAATACACCGTTTCGAGTTTCGTACGAAAGGAGACGAAAACTCAAAACTAAACTACGTAATACGAGATAACATTAAAATATTTTTTGTAATGGTAATTCGTTGGACGTCCTGGTTCAACGAGCCCCTGCGTCCCAGCCCCCACCCCCGAAGAATTTGACTCTCGCATGCATTACGATACTCGCGTGTGTAACGCACATGGTGTGCATCTCCTCGTCGTTGTATCGGTACGCATTGTTCCGGTCCCTGTCCCGTAAGTACAGGTTCACCCCTGTATTTATTTGGGATGCTAAAAAAGGAAGATTTCTCATAGCTAAACAAGTATTTCGAAGAGACAACTTGCTGGGGGTCTGCGCCGTCTCATGGTTGAACGCCGCCCGGCCAGTCTGGTTCCTGAGAAAATGTCTTCGATGTCTGTTCCGATGTTAACGTGGGAATACCCTCCCAAAGTACATAACGTATGCGTTATCCAACATTTTTCATTTCATACGATAGCTTCTCTCTTCAGGAACGAAATAAAACACTCCCGATAGGCGCGTGATTTACGATACGTTCTTAACATTTATTCCGTTTATCGAACAAGTTAAATTTTATGAATATTGAAAATAAACGTGCGCTTAAGAGAGTGCGTCGAGTACGTGGGAACATGCGCGTATAGATTTTCCAAATGTAACAGCAAGTTTTTTTGTATTAAAATTCCAGCCGCCCACGACAATGGCTCCAGAATCGAGTAAAAAGTGCATTGTCTGTGAAGAGTGCAGACGACGAAGTAATGAAAGATGAAAAAAGAGGGTAGCGATTTTGCGCGTGTACGAGGAGAGCGTGCGTACGTGTATGCGTGAGGCGAGAGACCGGATCACGATAGGGCAGGGGAATAAGACGAAAAAGTGCAGGAAACGAAGGAAGAAGATAAAGAGAAGAGTGAATAGAATGGAAGGAAAGAAGCTGATGAAAGAAATACAAATAGTACGTATTACGCGTAATGTGCTTCCCCGTTGGTAAGACGCGTTGCGTATATTGTATTGTAGCTGTAATATTAAGAAACGAATTGAAGACGGTTAGCAATATAATTTATTATCCATCCCTTAGTGGCATAGGCCGCTTCCAATCGGTATCCAAATTTTCCTGAGCATCGTGCGTAAAGCAGATTTCGACATGGTGCAGAAAATTTGAACATACAGAAATGAAGAAAACGGAAAAATCCTGAAGAAACAGGTTTCAGCGAGCGAGCAGGCGAGCGAGCGAGCAAACGTACGAGAGCATCACGTCCGTCTTCGTTGCTCCGTTGCTTCTTGTTATTCGAGGGACGCGGGTGCGTGCTCGACCAGACAGGCGGTTTACGGTTGAATTCAGGACCGTATCTCGTTGTCTGCGATGCGTAGGACCTCTTGCCTTTAACCCGAGGTACGTGATCCTCCTGTCTACGAGCTACATATACCTTAAAATAAGAAACGCAAATCGCTCTGCTTAATTTATCAATGATTGAACCGTAGTACACGATCACTTTCATGTATCTATACGAGTAACATGAAGTATACATGCTCATGTCTCGGTGGATCGTACAAAAATTCTGTACGTTTATTCTACTTACGCACGCGCGGGGTATCAGATTCACGGGTATACGAAAATCCACGTTGCGTCTATTTTCGCTATTTACAATTGTACATAAGTACATGTACATACACACATCCAGAAGTGTATTAGTTTTTGTTCATGTCAAGTAACGGAGGATATACGTTCTTTAACACGTTACTTACTCTCGATCACGTTCAGCTTTACGCGTACATCGAATCTAAGGAACAATTTTGTACCCTGACGTTATATTAAATGAACGTAAACTACGTTCTTGCCCGTAACTCGCGATTGACTGCAATCTAATGCACGATAAGTTTGAAAAAAAATCGTATTTAATCGTAACAAATTCCTGGTAAGAAGAACAAACATGGAATAATAAAAAAGGAGTAGCCTGTAGAGTAGAAAAAATGATAAGAAGGTATTAGATAAGCGCAAGGAGAGGATGATAAAGAGAGAGAGTGAGGAGAGTCGCGAAGAGGGGGAGAATGGAAAAATGCGAGAAGTGGAAGGAACATGGAGTAGGAGCTGAAAGAAGTTGGGACGAACCTGGGTAAGGCGGGGCTCGTGTATACCGCGAAGAGAGGTAAGCGGTTGAATCGGATTGGACTGGGGCGCAACTAGCAGCAAGCGAGCGAAGAAACTGGTTTGGTTTTGTGGGGCTTGCACCACTGCACCGCTCTTTCAGCGAGACAGTCCAATTTATGCATTACGGCTATGTAGGCACTACATGATATCAAAACGCTGCGCCCGGGCTTACTCCACTTACCGTCACCATCGTTGCAATATAATCGGAACTTTGCAAGTGCCTACAAGATTAAATTCATCATCGCATTACAATTTCATTTAACATACAATCAAGTGTTGCACGCTGTTCGTAACTAATCATTCGAATACACGGCAAATTCCAGGCAACGTGGTAAAAAGTGAAGCGAAAACGCGTACGAGTTTGTAAATTGTGTTATACATAACGCTGGTGATACACATAATATGAATTTTCAATCGGTTAAAAGATCGTGACCGTTTCGTGTGGTTCATTTGGTGCTCCGTCCTTTACGCGCCCGTTCAAAATTAACACGAGTGAAGATTACATTCTAGAATCTCGCATACAGGTACATATACAACATATTTTGTTTCTACATCGTACGACCACGAGTTTCCCGTTCTTTACGACGCGGATAACCCGATCTTTCTCTCCTGCCATACGTACTACGTATCCAGGTAGATACATCCCACATACCTCTCTATCGTTTACGAATATACGATATTCACATCGTTTGCTCTTATCTCGCAGAGGTTATGACATTTCCTACCGACTTCCCTGTCATCGTCTCGATCACGCGCTTTTCCTACATATTCTTTCCATTCGGCAGATCAAGTTTCAGATCTTTAGCTTCTCCTCGAACATCTTACAAATTTCGGATTCTACAAGAGAATGCATATACGTGCGCTATCGAAAGTGAAGTGAACCGTGCAAAATATATAGATATACACGTTTATTATACGTGTTATCATCGTGATCGAAGTATGCATGTATTTAAAGTTTAGTTCGCATCGAAGTTTTTACATTCGATACACGTATACATGCTTGTTCCTTCTTAAAGTCTCGAGTTCCGTACGGAAACGAGCGATGAGCGAAGGGTAAATCAAGCAGAGCGATAGGATAAAAGGCAGTAAAACGTAAAGATTCGTTCCGTTTATTTTTGTTGGAGTAAACCGTGAGAATCATTTGAATATGCACGATGCGTGTGAACGATGGGACAATTCGTTCGATATAATATGCAACCATACAAATTTTTCTATAGGCACGTAATCGCCATCGGTAGTCATAGCGTAGCGTTATGCATAGAGACAGGTTTATGAGTACGGATCGAAGACGTTTTGTGTTAATAATTAAAACGGAGGGATCATAGGCCGCGTAAAAAGAGGCGATCATCATAGAAAATTCGTTATTCGGCAAGTGCATGGGGAAATTGCATGGTCAACTTTTTCTTCTGACCGTTTTGCACGAGCCAATCAGAATTCGCGAATACGGCTGAAAAGAAAATGGCTAACTCACGTCGCTGGGTTCGAGCGTATCTTTGCGCGTCGTTTTGTGAACCCCGTAGTGTGCAATCACGTTGACGTCTATCGCCATTTCCTCGCAGGAGGATTCTGTTCATTTACTTTTTAAGGTACATGCAATTATTTTCTATTCACGTTATGAATATCGCGAGTTTTGTTCGTGACCGGGTTTCCTCGATAGCGCGTTAATAAACATGGATAGAAGTACGTTAGTTAGAGCCGCAGGTGTTGATGTTATCGTGAGCGTAGAAGTGCATCGCATCCTCTAAGAAATATGGATGCAGTTCTCCATCGCCGGCCGGCAAGTTAGATGCAGAAAGGTTTCGATCCCGCGAGACATCATCGAGCACGATCTCTACGTCGCGCGGTTCAACGTACATTCGTAATTTTTCGAAAATTTTTATTCCGATAAGTATGTATACGTTTCTATATTTTAAAACGTTCCGTACGATGGTAGAGGGTGCCTTGTTGCATGTCGTAAAATGATTAAGTACGTAGGTACGAAACGGTGTTCGAGTACATGCATCGTGATCGTGCAAATATGATCGTTTACCGGTTTCTTTTGGTGAACCGCGCGTTGCCGCATGATATTTCGGACTTTTGTTCCCCCCGTCGTTCGTAAACGCGGGAAATTGCGTAGATACGTATACGGACATGGTCTCATGTGCGTTCGGGGTATATGCCAGGCATATCGTTTCTCGAACCTCGCGATTCCGCTCGAATTCATCGTATTTCTCGTTTTATGGTCTCGCCAATTTAGATTTAAGCATTAAAAGTCTCTCCCTTGCTCCCTTTCCTTTCTCCTCCATTCACCCTTCTCTGTCTGCCTGCTCCCTCCAATTATTTCCGCGCCCTACCTCCGTCTCAAAGTGTCTGCGAGCATTTTGTATTTGTAATTGAAATTCTTTGCTCTGGTGGACCTCGGATCTGTCCGCTGTTGCGTCTTAGAACTTGTTTGTTACCGGGCGATGTAAAAAAAAATACGCTCGCACAGATCGTTTATTTGTTATTTTCCGTCGGTGTAATCGAGTTTTGTGAAACGAGAGAGTAATTCGTTTGATAGTATGTGCGTATAGTTGGAACGTTGATTGACGAGAAATTCGCGGGTTCTTCAGGTTGGAAATGATTTGTTCCAGCTATGGCAGAAGGAAATGGGGAAATAAAAATGGAAGAGAAACAGTCTAAGGAGGAAATGGAATATGTGGAAAGGACAGAAGATTTCCAGAAGCTGATTCAGTATGGACTGGATGAGAAAGTAGCTGCAAAACTGGATGAAATTTATAAAACTGGGAAACTGGCTCATGTGGATTTGGACGAGAGAGCATTGGACGCTTTAAAAGAATTCCCTGTGGACGGTGCATTGAACGTACTTACACAGTTCCTCGAATCTAACCTGGAGCATGTCTCGAATAAATCTGCATACCTCTGCGGTGTCATGAAAACTTACAGACAAAAAAGTCGGGCTGGACAAGGTACCGGTACTAGCACTACTCCAAAAGCACCGGACGAGGATAAAATAAAAGTGCGTAGACTTTGACGGTTTTCGTAGTTTTAATGAAAATGAGTGTATAGGCTTCGTTCTGAATGAAAATGTTTGTGATCGATGATGCTTCAGATGATTCTCGAACGGACCGGTTACCCTTTGGACGTAACGACTGGACAGAGAAAGTACGGAGGACCTCCTCCGAATTGGGAAGGCCCTACGCCGGGAACAGGTTGCGAGGTAAATGCGATTCATCATTGTTCTTTGCGTTTATCGGCGTTCGTCGATTCTCAAGATCAATCTTCAGTAACCCTGCACGCTTTTTTCTTTCGATAGGTTTTTTGTGGAAAAATTCCAAAAGATATGTATGAAGATGAATTAATTCCGTTGTTTGAAAAATGTGGAAAAATTTGGGATTTGAGACTAATGATGGACCCAATGGCAGGTTGCAACAGAGGATATGCGTTTATCACATTTACTAATAGGGAAGCTGCGCAGCAAGCTGTCAGAGAGGTACGTAAAGATTCGTCCATATCATTTTATTATTACGTAGGTATATGTTTGTGAAGCGTACAAATTCTGTTATCCTAGTTTACGATATCTTGTTATGAACATATCGATTCCCTCCATTTTTGTTTAGAAGATTTTTAGAAATGTTACAAAATTGTTATTGCTACCAAAAGAAGTGAACTTTCGAAATGTTTAACTACGTTACTGTATATGCTGTATTTCTTGGTCTTATTGTCTCTCGGGAACTTCGTTCAATTATTTTCGACTCGTTTCGACGACGAGTCGATCGTTTCAATGTTCTTCGTTGCGAGCGCGAGGATTCTTGTCATACGTCACGTCGTCGAGCGAATTGAATTCAGCCTCGCGCGATCGAGTTCCACAATAACGAATAACCACTTTTTTCTTTTCTTCCATTTCTTTTTTGTATTAAACATTTCGAATTGATTTTTTTCATGCTCCCATGTGGCTTGTTCTATGTTGTGACTTGCGTTCTCTCTTCCTTTCTTTCCTTTTTTTTAATTTATCGTTATTGTTATTATTATTACTATTTTTTTAAACGGTAGTCTTTAACGCAAACGTTTTAGCATCGTTTTACTAATAGCAAAGAGTTAATCGAATTTGAGATTCAATGTCTTTAGCTAGGAACAATCCACATATTTGTTTCATACATATACATATATGTCCCTGACCATCGATTCATATTTAATTGTATAATTATTGTCCAACACGTCCTATATATTTAACTGAAGCGTGACAATGTTAGGAAGTATAAGTGCACATATGCATATAACACGCACGCGCACGCACACGTAGACAGCCGGATCAGGAACGAACTGACAGTGACAGCGACAGAGATACGTTCTCGCGTACATGCATACACACATGGATACGTATACCGGGAATACATACGAAACTTAAGAGACATGCGCGCAACGACACACGGAGAAACGCGTATATTCGTATGCGCGTTTACGCATACACGTAGAGACAGACCGGGCACACGTATCGCAGGCAACATGCAGCGATGAGCGCACGCACGTAATATCAAAACTACGTACGTGCAGGCGTACCTGCAAACGCGCGTGTACGCGTACACGAAACACGGATACTCTCACATACACACAACCGAACGTACGATAATTTCATCCTCCGGATGAGTTTCTTTTTCCAGCTCTCCTCTTTGCTCAGTGGGCAAAATTGGGAGTGGAGAATCTTTTTAAAGCAGAAAAAAAAAAGAGAAAAGATATTCCGTATGGCCTTGATCGGTTAGGGGTATATTTAATTGATTGGTTGATATTCATTGGACAGTGACAATTTTTGTAACAAAATTTGGAAAATTGGTAGGCTTAAAATTTGTTTACAGGAGCACATACGTGAACGCCGGTTTCCTATATTGTGAAGAATCGAGCGACAAAGCGCATGCCACTTTCTCGCTTTCATGGAACCAGGCCATGTTCGTTGTCATTAATTGATCGAAAAGAAAATTAGTCTAATTCTAAATTCTGTTCTCTCTCTGATTCCGCAATTTGATAAAACACGAAATATGTATTATTTAATTGGAACAATATTAGGCATGTGTTTGTTTTCTTCATCCCACAGCTCGATAATCACGAAATAAAACCCGGCAAGAATCTGAAAGTAAACATTAGCGTTCCTAATCTACGACTTTTTGTGGGGAACATACCAAAGTCAAAAGGCAAAGAGGAGATCTTGGAGGAATTTGGTAAATTAACAGGTAAAGTGAATTCGAGGCGTGTGTATACCTACCTATCTACCTGTACCTACCTGTTTACCTGTAATGTAACTTAAGAGTGGTAGCTTTTAAGTAGTGGTTGTAGATGGTATGGAATTAAGGAGCATTCAACGAGACATATATATATA